TAGTGTGGAAAACACGTTATACAGAAGAAAAGAATATATCGCGATATATATCGTTACCGCACATGCTTCAAATTATATCGCGATATGAATTTTAGGCCATATCACCCAGCCCTAGTTCTCATCCAAGATTTTACAGTACATGACCCTGTCCGAAAGTGCCTCAATGTGGTGGAGTCTTCCTGTACCCTTAGCTGAAAACACCCCTAAAGCATGATGTTTCCACCTCTATGCTTGACTGTGGGGTTTGGTGATCTTTGGATGATACTCAGCATTTCTCATCCTTCAAACATGGTGGCTCAATTTTAGTTTCATTTGGTCACAGCACTTCATTTATATGTTTTCTGTAAATGATAAAGAGGAGTGGGCAAACTAAAGATGGGTCTTCTTCAACAGAAGGACCTTGCAGGTGCTGCAATGTTTCAATCAATTGCAGTGTAGTGTTACCAACAGTTTTCTTGGTGGCTGCCTTCAGATCATTAACATGCTCCTCCCATGAAGTTGTGGGCTAATCTGCCACCTTTCTTATTACCATCCCAACCCCATGAGGTAAGCTCTTGCATGGGGCTCTATGTTGAGGAACTGGTGAGAAACTGGTTTTGTGGACAGATGTGCTTTATACATAAAATGGGCTGAGATCCGCCAGAGATTAAATAATTCATTCCACCAATGTAAAGATAGAAAACATAGCACCAATAATTTCAGGTTTATCTAGAAAAGAAAACAATGTCTAATGTTTGTGTATGATTGTGTTGTTTTCTGGTGAAATGAGGAATAATTAGGACCATTCATTATCTCTAAATAAAGTTCTTACTTTGTCAAAACTGTAGGGTCTTGTTGCTTGGTATTTCCTAGTTTGACTTATTTGTTTCCTTTTTATTGTTGTAACTGAACAACACTGGCTCAAGTATGAAAGTATAAGTGGACTCTACTGGGGTTTGACACTAACATAGTTTTTTTTTGGTCCTCTCTAGGTCAACTTCACAGTTTTTACTTCTGTTTAGCGCATAAAGGCACCATGGGAAACATCTTCCAGTGCTGCCAGACCCTCTCAAACTACTTTAAGTGTCAGGATACACCAGGCCTGGGTGAGGCAGAAAGATCTCCTCTGCTGTCCAGCGAAGAGAGTGAATGTGAGTCACCGAGTTTGCTGGACAACTCGGAGGACGACGTGTTAACCGTCTCAACAAACAGTATAACAAACCTGGCCCTCGAACCGGAGAACTTTCTGTTTCCTGACATCATCCTAAGCAGCAGCCTGGGAGGAGATGTGACTCTGGTGGAGCCAATGGTGTGTCTGCTCGTGTCTGAGGAGGATGAAGGAGGAGGCGAGGGGATGGGCGAGCAAAGAAGCGAAGAACGAGGAAGGAGCAATGAGATGCGAGGCAGAGGGTACTCTGAGGTTGAGACTCAGACTGAAATAGAGACCCAGATTGGTATGGGGGTGCAGACTCAGACTGAGTCGCAAACAGAAGTTCAAACACAAACAGAAACACTCGAGTTCGGTAATAAGAGGGTGGTGAGGGGAGGAAGTATGATCATTAATAGTGAGACTGGAAAAGAGATGCATGATTGGGATCAACATGAAGGTGTGGAACAGCTGCTTTTGGAGGCACAAACATCGGAGAAGAAAAGCAGTGACATTTGGTGTGACGTTGAAGTTTCTGCTGACTTGAAGCTGCCAGGAAAGGTAGGAAGGCAGACAGCCAAAGACAAACTCGAAGTGACGGCCACCTTAACAAAGCTAACTTTGCAGACAGAAAGAAACACTGACCCAATTGAAGAGGAACATACAGATTCTGCCCCGAGAGAGTCGACAACCTTACAGTGCAACAAAAAGCCAGACGAGCAAAAGACTGAATCCAAACACACCTCAGTGATGCAGGCTGACCACAAGGTCAGCGGCACAAATGAAAACATTGCTGCAGTGGAGTCAGAGAAGATGACAAAATGCAGCAATAATGACACAGAAAATGTGGAAAACTTTGACCCCACTGAGGGTTGCGTGAACCTGAAACAACAGAGCAATCAGGACAATGGACAGATGGAAGAGTTAGAGCAGACTGCAAATGAAAAGCAACATAATAATATCCACATAAAAACAAACAATCCTGTGGTTCAGACAGCAGGTCATATTCAAAGTCAGGACAAGTCACATCTGCCAAAGAAGTTAGAGGAAGCCATCAAGACTGATGAGCGACAGGCAGAAGGAGAAGAAGAAGGAGAGACTGAGATTGATCGAATGACCCTTTTTTTAGTTGACAGACTGTTTCTGGGAGCAACACATGTCCAAAGTGAGTGGATTTTTTTTTGTAGTCAGTATTACAGCTGGTTAAGCTAAGACTGTGTTTAAGAACTCATTTATTTAGTCTGAAATCTATCACAGTGAAAAACTCTGGATGATAACACCATATCTTCATTCATCTTCCTTTTCATTTTTTAGATCTTTTTCACTTCCTCGGACAGGGAGGGCATATTTTTGGTATTTTTGGTCGTGTCATTGTTTCTGTCTGTAAAAACAATAACTTAAAAAGTTTTGAAAGATTTCTGGTCAAATTTCATAGGGGTGTAGATCCTGCTCTTCAAGGACTTCAAGGTCAATTCACTAGCTGGGCCTACGTCCTCATTTTAGGTTTGACAGTGTTTTAGTAGGTAAAGGTGAATACTTGGACATGAATTGAGCTGCGGTTTGGGGAAGGCCTCGAAGGGGACTGGGTTTGGCAGAACCCCATGTACTAATAGAAGTGAAGAAGTTAAAGAATTGAGAACAAGGAGGGAGGGAGGGTGGGGCACGTACCGTAAACAAGAATGAACAGCTTGCAGAACTGGGGGAACCTATATAGATGACAACCAGAAGGAGCGCGTTTGGAGGCGTGGTCCTGCTCCTGAAATTCTGAGATATAATCTCCAAAAATTGACAAAAAGCTTTATAATTTAAAAACTCTGATTCTGATAAGTGTCAAATCAAATCAAATCAAATCAAATCACTTTTATTGTCACATCACATGTGCAGGCACACTGGCACAGCACATGCGAGTGAAATTCTTGTGTGCGAGCCCCACAAGCAACAGAG